TTACGCAAGATAGCTTTGGCGAGAGCCTGCTTGATGCTGCGGGCTCGGCTGATGAAAGCGGGTCTTCCAGTGCGGGCAGTCTACGAAAAAGCAGCGTTCCGGAACGCAATGGTAGGAATGAATACGTGCAACTAGAGAGCGATGACCATGGTAGTATTACCAAGGTAGCTACTGAAGAGAAGGACGATATCAAAGAAGATACTAAACGGGAGGAACCAAAAGTGTCCGAAACTACCACGTAGTGATTATCTCGGGGAATAAACCTATACGCGATCAAATTATATACGACGAAGGCGGGTCTAAAAGAGACGCTGGATAATTAATTAGGTGACGAGCTACGTTCTACGAGTCAAGGAACGGGGATAGCAACGACGCAGCTTCACTATACGGCGACTAGCGCTAGCAGGAAAGAGATGTGTATATATAGAGTATGAGAGATGCAACCTGGTTACCCTTATCCCTTCGGATACGGGCTAGGGACATAAGACTAAGCAAATGCTCAACCTCGCTCAATAGGCAGGATAAATGGACGTTCATAGTAGGTGTTCTAGGTTACCTTAGATAGGGGGTAGGTAGTAGATAGACGACAATCCGTCTATTCCTACCAAGTAAGAAATTCACGTTCAAAAAGGAAAGAAATCGTTGCCTCGGTGTCGCTTTCGGTGATATGCTGTAACCCAGTCGTCTTTCTCTTGTGACAATATACTTCAATATGGTATTACGGCTATAACCAGTTAGTCCCTATGGGGAAGTATGTATCTAAGTGACTTGAAGAATGCCCGACCGCAATCTTATTCCACGCAGACCTATTTTATTTGACTTTGAAAACTACCTACCTACCTACCTAGGCACCGGGAGGCTATGGATACCTACCTAGGGAGTAAACTAAACACAGGTATGCCAAAGTAAAGTAGACATCATTTTCACAACACGAACACTAGCGCACGTAGATATAGAGTATTTATTCGTATCTATGGGGTTTGCGGCTCCATTTAGACACATACCCAGATGGTACAGTAGGGGCTGCTCGGGGCGCCTGAGGTATCATCACCAGCACTCATCAAGACGACCCGGTCTTCGGCCTAGCTACCTAAGCCTAGGTATATGTAGGAAAACAGGTGGAGGAGGAGGGGCAAAGCAAGGAGCAGCTAGCTAGCTGCAGTGCTATAAGCGAGGCGTTTCCGTTCTGCGCACGACACAACCCTTTTCTCCTCGTGCCAGATCTGGTCTCTCTCCCTCAAACGTATTGTGGGAAGAGCCCAGCTCGTCGTCGCATTCTGTAGTAACTCGAGGCCTCGTTAAACGCGTAATAAAGTCTACTTGATCGTTCCGAAAACCACCTCGCGTCAGACAGCCCCGCCAACCAAGAACCAGGAAGAAAAATAAAAAAGCGCCTTCCGAGTGTCCGTTTGGAGAGCCAACCTCCGGGCTTTCATTATTACACCACCGTCGCAATGTGTCATGAGGAATATAACCGCCGCCGCCGCCGCCGTCGACGGATGCCAGGAGAAAGAATACGGGGGGGATATGCCTGAGTATAATGCAATTCTGCTACAGACTAAGGGCTCATGTCTGTCTTAAGCGAGATAACCGAGATCGTCATCTTCCAAACGCTCCAAGTATTCCTTGTCAAGAAGGATCTCGATGCACTTCTTGATATCACCAACCTTAGGCACGAAGCGTGACCTGATCTGAGTAATACACTCGGTAATTAGTAGGTTGTGCTTCATCTTCTTTCGTGCCTTCATAATTCGGACAATAGCAGACTATAATTTTGATTAGCACCTCGATCATAAACGGATAGCCCAGATAGTAGTACTATTACTGGAGAGCTCGGAGGCTTTAAAAGGCGGAAAGGGGGGGGTATTATGTAAATACTTACTTGTAAGACCATTTGGCGGTCATCCTCAATCGTCTTGTTAGTGTCAGCCTCCTCCTGCTTCTGCTCCGTCTTGGTGCCAACGTTCAGGTTGACACGGATCTTCTTGCTCTTGAAATCATAGTTAAGATGGAACATCTTTCCGGGACCAGGCTTCTCGCCGTCAGGCTTCATAAGAAGAACTTTGGCCTTTAGAAGGATACCGAGGGCAGGATCCAGAACCTCGCTAGTCAGCTGAGTAACCGATGCGATATCATCGTACGAGTGGGCATCCTTCGAATTGAATTGCAGAAGAATAGCCATCTGATAAACGCTCACTTGAAAAGTATAGGGCGTCTTTGATTGCCTGCAGTAGCCGGTCTTGAGCTCTCCTTTGCAGAGTTGCCACAGCCAGCTTAACTTGCGGCCTTCGTGTTTGTTCTTGTAGAATAGTGTGAATCGATCAATGTCGGTTTGAATCTCCGCTGGCGGGTTGAACGTCGTATTAGGGGGCGTTAAAGGCCAAAAGCTGGTTCCCAAGATCGAGTACGTAGAGTCAAGTGGCTGCTTCTCTGATTGTAGGCCCTTGGTATGCTCTCGGAATCCGGTGTTGAGATCCTTGGAGATTTGCATATCCTGGAACATGCGCTGCAGTTTGTTTGTATATTCGAAACCGCATGCTTCCTTGAGCTTACTTATCATGCTCGTTTCAGCGTCATCCGATGAGGAATTGCTGTGCACCAGACGTCTGGCTAACATTCTCGAATAGAACTTCTGGAATACATCCTTGTCTTCAATGTACTTGAAAACGGTCATGATTTGCGTCAGAGTAGCATCGAGTTCAGCCTCTTCCACGCCGGCCCCACTCTTTCTCAGTAACACATCGGTATACTTGGCGAGAAGTTCGGGAGATTTGCTGCTCCCTGCCTTACAGATCTCATTGCGGTTCACAAACTCTCTACAGGCATTGTCCAAAGACCTTGTGAATTCCGGCTCATCGGCAAATGCGCGCTTGACCAAACCTTGATATCGGGTATGTGTCTCAAGCAAAGCTTCCACGTAGACCTTAGGCTCAAGTTTCTCGGCATCCGAAGCAACCTTTGCAACCGCGTTAAGGCCCGCGTTGCGAACGTGACCCTCAAACTTCTGCCGTAGTGGCTCCAACCCATCCGGAATCCTAGATAGAAGGTTGTACATACGGGCCATATCTTCCTCTCGGTCATTGTCGAGGAGAACTTGAAACTCATCCCTTAGCATTGCGGAATGGTCAGCGATCAAGGCTTTGTTGCATGTCTTCTTCAACGGTAGCGCTATGTCGTTGTGGAGGTACATGCGCACACGCTCTTCCTCTTCGGCTAATCGAGCCTCGGCCTTCTTCATATATTCTACAACGCTGTTCTCGGCAACAAATTGCTTAGATTCTGCCTTGTAGAATTCCTCCGTTGCCGCAAGGAACGGCTTCTCGAAATGGTATCTGTAGGTGTCAAGAGTCGACTTAGTTGCATCGTGCTCATCAAGACCGAGGGATACGAATGAATCGACAACCTGCTTGATCTGCCTATGCTCAATTGTCTCCCCATTTCTCTGCTTCTCCACCAGCATGAGTACTGCATCCATAACCTTCTTGTTAACCAGTGTAAAGAATTCGGTGCGCCATTGATATAGATGTAGAGTGTAAACGTCGTACGTATTCTTCTTTCCTTCGTCTATCTCTCGCTTGACCCAGTGCCGGTTGAGATATCGAAAGAGGTGGTGGATGTACTTGGCGGCGACCGTATATCTGTTCCATTCTCTAATATAGAATGCCAGTAAGGCCTCGTCAGCATGTCCCTTGGATTGTTCGTAGAGTCCATTGAGGTGGTTGTTCAGGTATTCCTTCAATTTCTTGTAGAGGTCCTCGCCAAGGAGATGCGCTTTGCTCAAGTTAGTGGAATATTGTGGATTTCGGGATGGATCGTCATTACCTCCTCTGTGAGCCTGTCCTACGGCATTGGAGCTACCTAACCCGACAGCTTTCTGTGATGTACAAAAGTTATGCACCGCCCTGTTTCGCGTTAGTATGTGCAATTAGATAACAAGGCTGAAAGACTCACGTATAAATTCCCATGTACTATTGAAGATGTTAGCAGAGAAAACCATGCGAGCAATACCTGAGACTCACAGTGCCCATATCCATTCCTTCCTGCAGATTAATCATAATCTTGGAAATACCACTCTGAAGGTACTCCCATGTTTGGCCGATGTCCTCTCGGTTCGGCGCCGAAGGCATAGGTCGTGCCGCGGTTAAGGACATGGTGATAAGATGTCGGAAGAGATATCCCCCAAGGAGGGTGCCAGACGAGGACTATGGACAGACAGGCAGATGGCTTTCGGGTATGAAGGTGGGAGTCGGATCTCTAGACAGGCAAATGTCAAAACTCAGTTAGCAATAGACAAGACAATCAAAGTGATGTAGTTAATCGGTCGTGTAAAGGGTACGAGAATATTCTATAGATGGTGGTGAAGCAAATTCGGTGCAAGGGTCTGGAAAGTTTTATATGTTATGGATGCTAGGGAAGATGGAGGAACACCAAGACAAACAATGCACGTACATTGTCTTTGAGTAGTGAATCTTCCAGACTCGTGACCTCAGTCTAGGAAGGCTCACTGTTCGGTGGACAATTAGCGACGCAATGATTTTGAAAATAAAACAATGTGTTGAAAGGAACTAACAGTTAAAAAAAAAAAAAAGTGAATCGAAACAGAAATCAAAAAGAAGTTGAAAATCGATGTCACAGCTGCTACAGTGAGAATTAACAGATGGAGTTGATTTCAGGTTGCCGCATCACTAATTGTAATAAGGCAGACACTGCAAATCACCCGGTCTCCCCAAGGCTGCCAACTGACTAGAAACCGTTTAGCGCCGAATGGTTGCCAGTCTCCGCCCCCACTTCGACTTACCTAACGCAAGGTAGGTGCGTATCCTTACTCCTATATCCTTACTCCTACCCCTCCACGTCACCTTAGCCTTCCTCAAGTCCTTTTAGGAGGCAACGGCTTACCTAAAGTACCTAACCTACCTTAGGTACCTATAGAATACATGTAGGTATGTAGGTAGATTACAATGTTGTACAGGATATTGCTTTCCATCTGTCGTGTGCCTGCCATCTGTTGCATATAAAGAACGATGCCTGGACATTTTGATCCAAGACAGTTTGCCTACCTACCTACCTAAGGTCAAGCATCGCAAATAAAGTTGTTTACATTCCGCTAATGTTTTACAAAACCCTCAGGCTAAATAATATTAACGTTATCATCTTGGGGTATATTCATCTCCTTATACGCTATCCTTACAAGCTATTTACCTAACCCATTTTTCATTTACGTTATCTATCCCGCCGAGCTTCTCTGCCAGTCTGAAAACATTAATAGTGAAATTCAGAATCCAGGCGATCAACCCTACCAGCGTCAACGCCGCAAGACCCCTAGCCAGATGCAAAGACAATCTCTCCATTGCTGCCCATTCAGGAACTGTCGACAGACCGTCCCCGCTATGATACACCAACGCTTCGAAAGCCAGTGCCGTGCTAGCAGATTTCAACACGATGAAAATGAGGTCCAAGAGCGTTAGCGATATCTTCTGCGCTGGTGCTCTAAGTCCTAAGGGTTTCCCTGTATATTCGTCCCAAGTCATATATAAAATATAAGGAATAGCTATCGCGTCAATGACTATAGCTACAATCGCTTGCGAAGTCTCCGGGGTATTGTCGTCGGGGGTTTCTGGGCTCTTCTCTTTTTGGAAGATATTTGTTGCCACAGCAAGAGCTGCGATGGTGGTGATTAAAACGATTAGACGGAATATAAGCGGCGCTATTGGATGCCGCAGTACAAAATTCGAGATCTTCATCCCCCACGTATCCTTTCTAGATATTCTCTTGGTCTTCGGATCTAACGGATGAAATGGGCTTCGTACAGGCTGATCGAGGCCTGGCATTTGTCGTTCGAGGACATCATAGGGTACCACTTCGTACTCGTCATCGGGATTTCTTCCATAGGAAGACGAATGGATAAAATCCCGCCATCTCTCGTAAGGATCTTCATTAGGTGCTCGATAGCCGAGTCCCATAATAACTGGCTCTGCCGTGCGCAAATGATCCCATCGTCGTCCCGGCCTGTCGGCTCGTTTTCTCAAAAACACAGGGAGTTTAGATACACGATCATGTTTTTCGTCGACCCAGTCAATGTAGCCATCCTTCGATACCCTTCGTTTTAATTGGTTTCCTTTATTCTGTTCCGGGCGGACACTTGGTGGGGGAGGGTTGATGTGTTTGTCCTTTCTCGGCCCATGGGCGTGCTCATCATACAATTCCACCCAAGCGGGCACGGTGGTCCGCAAAGGATTTCGGGTCATCGCAATGCTCGGTGTAGTAGAGGCATAGGGATGCGAAAATCTAAGGATAAAGGCGAAGTAGGGCGGCGATAGTCGAATAAGCAGACAAAATAGCTAGTCATCCTCTCACATACATTGGGCAGCTTGTGTCATCAGGACGCGGAAGAGGCGGGGTGGCTAATTAGCGTGTCGAGTAGAAAAAGAACCGCTCCAAAGGTATAGATATGTATAACGCCGGGCGTGTGTACGTATATATGAGTTTGTGTAGGCGCCAGCTTCCATCAAACTTTCGGCATACTATGTATGGGCACCAATGACGAGAGCGGAGAAAAGCGCAAAGCGCATAACCATAAGACGAGCGAGGATAAAGCAAGGCTTGGATTTAACGCGACTAAGTTAGATTAGGTAGATAAAGTATGTACCTACCTAAGTAAGGAGGTTGGTATGTAAATATAACTTAAAACAGATAGTTCCAAAAACCATTCCACGAACAATAGACAATGCCGACTTGTTATTACATACGTCGAAGACGGAAAGAAGAAGAAGAAGGAAGTAGAATATGGTTACACGACAAACGCGGTCTTTTGTGTGCAGGTGAGATAAGGAGCAGCTGAGAAGTCAAATGACAAAAAGTTGCGATAGCTTTTGAATAAATTTAAGTCAGCTCCAGGTACAACAGCAAGGGACCGCGTTGTCCGGGGAGACTTACCAGGGATGGTATGTATGTAATAGTAGAGGATGTCATATGGGGCCATAGCTTTTGAACTACATAGTACATACATACATAGTATAATCGCAGGGATGGATCGATTTCGTTTCAGTGTGGAGCACGATTTACAATACGTTAGACGGGCACCTAACATCCATACCCGACCGTGGGGCTATATCGTCTTAGCCACAGGTACAATACATGCATACCTACCTAAGGTTTATAGGTATCATGAAGTTCACAGCAGGGAATATTCTATTATTATTATTATATTTTCCCTGTTCATCCAAATTTTGCGCCACTATATTTAATAACTACCTATTAAATCCCAAACAGTTTTCATTAGACTCAGATTCATATACTATTGCACCCATCACATCTTTATAAAATTACATACATCCAATATATTACATCTAGGTAGCTTTACAGAACATTGAAGGTCTGGAGGTAGTTAGGTACTACATGTAGGTATGTAAGCACGTAATATGGACATTACCTAACGTATGTACCTCTATAAGATGTACATAATCAACTACGTACATTATGCAAGCCACAAAGCCTATCCCTGCGCACATGCGTCACCAGAGAATCTTCATTTGCTACCCTAACAAGTCCAGGGCCTCATAAGTAGAAACTTGCTCCGGATTCGACAAGGGTCTAAAATCTACATTTTCAACGTCATTGCTTGTCTGCTTGCAAACCTCATTGACGTGACCACGATGATTTCCACAAAGTCTACAGAGAGATGAAGTAAACGAGGCTTCATTGCGACTTCTTTATTCTAATCCATTTCGCCGCTATCCTCGTCCATTTCTGTCGCAAGCCCGTCGCAATACAATATCCTCCCCTCACCCGCTATAATGAGATTCTTTCTCCTCCCTATCTCAACCCGGCGAACTCTGCTATATTGCCAGAAGGTTCAAGTCTTACCAAAAAGTAAGCAAACCGTAGTCGATAAGGCTACGGTTCGTGCCGCACAGCTTTGGTCTGGCTGGGAGAAACAAGAGAAAGGTTGGCAGAAGAAAGTCGTGGTCTACGGTAACTCCCTATTGAAAAGAATTTCCTACGAAGAATGGGGCCTTAAATCGGTACCTCCTCTATCCACCAAACGGAGGGCAGAAGAAGTGCTAGGAAAAGATAAGAACCATCTTATTTACCCAGAAACACTAATACCTACAACAACGGCGGTAAACGTCCTTCGAACCCTTGGGACAGAACGGGAAGCGTTGCATAAAACTAGATTGATGTGGTGCTTCATCGGAATGCCTATCAGTGCACCGTTTGCTCTTGTACCAGTGTAAGTGTATTATCCTGTCTGAGTGGCACATCGTACCTTAACAGTCTTCTAATTAATATACCATTAGGATCCCCAACCTGCCTTTCTTTTACCTAGTGTATCGAGCTTGGTCGCATTGGCGAGCCCTCGCAGGCGGCAAACACATTCAGTTTCTTTGCGAAAACAACCTCTTATCTTTATCTCCATCGCCAGTACTCGACTCGATCTACACTCCACTCCTCCCCAACTCTCCTACTCCGAAAGAACAAATAGCAGACACGGATAGGGCGAGCAAATCAACTACCAGTAGTTCCCAAGAATCTGCCGAGGAACGAATGCTACTTTCGCAAGAGAATAGGCGACAGCTCGTAAAGGCACTGGAGATACCGGAGCTCGAAGTTGAACTTGAGCGGGCGATTTGGCAAGTTGAGACAACGATTCAAAAAGGACAGGAAGAGAAGTCCAAACCGCCCGACACGGATAAACCAAAATGACATGGTGCCGGAATTAAAGCAAATAGATATCGAGGAAACTGGTGACAAAAGGGTATTTCATGATAACAAGATCACGAGTCCATAAATAATGATACCCGGATTTGGTTGGGGGGATAGATAAATCGGCCTCGCTCCTCATTACGATAGTATCCGAGCAGCAGACAGGAGTCCTCAAAAAGAGTACTCTTATGAGCAATAGTTATGACTGTCACGTTCGCCAAGCCTGAGCTATACCGACCACGCGGATTGCCAAGAAAACTCCAGCAATGCACAAGACCCCCATCGTCGCCATTGACCGCCACGTCGTTAACATGTGCAAAAGCTGATACGCGTCTGGTAGCGAGCCACCTTGATAGTCGCCAGTAGCAAATGCTTGCTTCTCCATATCCACCCTCCTCAAGCCCACCCCTAGGCCAAAATCATGGCATTCCAAATCGGTCCGTAAATAGTATTCCGCAATAGTTCCGATGGGGTAGTAGTTCTCCTGTGGCTTAGTCGTCGTGGTCTTCGTGCCATTGTATATCGTTTGGGGGCGATTCGTGATGCCGCCATCCCTCGAAGACATCAATCTCCACGCGACATTTGCCTTTCGGCGCAGCAGTATCTGTGTCGGACTCTGTTCGCGTCTGGTGACTTGGGCGTAGTATATCCGCCTGCGTCGCTTCGATGCCTCGGGTCTTGACGGATTCAAGGGCGAGGAGATTATCGGCGCGTATTGTTCTCTCAGGGGCGCGCTCCAGGAAGCCATTTCCATGTTCTGAGATTGAGGGAGCGTGGAGAGGCCAGATTGGAAGAGGGATGAAGTCGAATCCACCGGACAAAGAAGGTAAAGAAGGTAAAGGCCGAGCACCCCGATAGCGATATGTCGTTTGTGGTACCGGCGGGCTAGATCGCTCTGTTCTCACAGTTTCATGTATTATTATTACCTCCCCTTGCTTGCACATTTGAGTTTAGGCAAAATCATAATTATCTTCTATCTACGCATGGAGTCGCCCTCGACGAAGATATCGAGCATTTGGATCGCAGCATGGGCACCTAGGTGACCTTTTAAGGACAGCATTCGATAAACCGTTTCTAATTATAACAAGGGAGGTCTTTTTGAATTACGTGGGGTTAGAGTGGCTCGAGTGTAATAAGAGTATTGGGATTGGCCTTTGACCCTTTGATGTCCCACTCTCGTAGTACCATGGTTGCGTTCAATGGCAAAGATAAGCCATGCCGGGATCTTACTAAACCACAATTGTCGATGTAAAGCCTTATGTAGGTTAAGATTGTAAAGATTCGATATTTACTTACTGTACATACATAAACCTGGATGGGATGGCTGGACCGGAGGAAACCTTCCCACGCGATGTTCTTATAATAGGATCTCAAATACGCACAACACCAAATTGTTATCGACCCCAAGCCGAAGTCCACGACGGAGTTCATATCACTGGCTCTAGTAAGCCCGGTTCTGATACATAGTCGCACTGTCTTCTTCATCGCAAATTTGGCTTAGTTGGCCACTCCTTGGGTTAAGCCTTTGCAGAGCCCGAATAAATGTGGTTTTCTTAGGAAATACTCCAGGGCATTGTCCATAGTAGCGACGACTACTTCGAGATGATTAATAGCATACCGCAGGGCATGTTCCTCATCATGGAGGATTCTTTTCGCATGCCAGGCGTCATCATATCCACCAGCTATCTGCGATCGAGTTCCATATCAACCTCCGCACGGCTCTCGGCCGGTTGCGGCGGTGGAGGCTTAGCCTGGAGAGCTACTATCCTTATAAAGGCTGACGCCATGACGAAACATACAAAATTTGCGGAAGATATAGTATAAGCAGCTATACGATAGCATCGCGTATATATAATGAATAGAGTCTATATAAGCACCTCCTTATTATAGCTTCCTTCAGTCTTTTAATATCCCCATTTCGTTTCCCCGCCCCCTTAATACTTACTCTAGCTTAATCGTTCCCCGGGACAAGTAGCAAAACACCTCAGGTAAACCCAGATAATAATCAAAAAGATACCATTAGTATCACTCTTTGTAGTGATTATTAGCCATAGCTATGACTGCGTTCCCAGTTCTACCTTCGTCAGTTATTTCTAACGGAGATTCCACCCTTTCTCCATCCAAGATAGCTGCAACCTCTTCCAAATTCGTCTTTCCTGTCGTTTCCACAAAGAGAAAGTAGACACCGATCAACTCGATAAAGATCCAGACATTTTAGATGATGAAATATACTTCAAGAAGTGTTAAAGTAGCATTGTGAGCTGGGTATTGCAACCTCCTTCATCTAGGTTTCGGAATGTTCCTATAGTGACCCATGTTATCGGCACCTAATTGAGAGATGTAAGCTATTACGGCCATATAAAACTTACCTCTACCTCACAACCATTCGCCCCTTCTTCCTCCGGACGGGACATATCGTAGGTATACCTAACTTGTCCCAGTCGACAGAATATGCTGTACACTCTCGAGGCCTCAATACTCATAAGAAACTAACTACACTTCATATGCTGACAGCAGAGGGTTTATTGCTCTTTTCCCCAGTTCCATCCATGACAATTACTGATGGGATATTGCTAGTGAAGAGTCACTTGCACACAATCGCGGCGGCGACAGCACTGGGCTTACCAATATTACAAAATAGGCTCTAACTACCTACCTACAACGCTGATCCAATCAGGATTTTTGTTACTGGCTCGTCTTCTGGCTTTACGATGGCCAATGTCATGTGCGCGACATACCCCGACGTTTTTGCCGCTGCGTCCTGTTATTCTGGCTTTCCGGCGGGATGCCTCACGGGATCTCCAGGACCAAGCCCCGAGACCCGAAATCCGAGCTGCAGATAAGGTCAAGTTACCAAGACGGGAGCAGAGTGGACTGAGCAGGTTAGAAGTATGTACCTTAAATATGACGGGACGTATCCTCGCACGTTCGTTTGGCATGGAGATGCGGATGATTTGGTTTAGGAGGAATGGTGGAATTATGAATGTTATGTAGAATAACTTATATACTATAGCGGGACTGTATGAGTTGATAGAATCGTCTAATTGTATGGGAACACGCCATCTATTCGTGGCAACTTCCAAAGAAGCCGTTCCTATAGTTACTCGCAGGTAAAATACCCAATAGTAAATCCGATGTAGTTGCTTGTATTGGTGTCTCTCCAGATAGGAGGTTATAAAGTCAGGGTTATAGTTACAGGACATAGACCATATACTTCACGTATATCTCTGCAATAAAACTTGCAATAATTCGTCGTCCTTCCATCTAACTAATGCTTTGGCCCTCCACTCCTCCGATTCTTCCTCTCCAGAGTCGAAGGCCCGTTTAAGGCCCATGAAAAGATCGATCATTGTTGCTCGATCATTATGGGATCCACTACCAGCACCTAGAGCAAAGAAGAATCGTTGCACTTTCCTTCCCTCGACAATGTGTTTGGCTAGATCGTCACGGCCTCTTTCACGGAAGATCATAGCCAGTCGCAACTCTTCCTCAGCAAGCTCGTTGGAACCATCGTAGAACTTCGCAACGGGTCACATCATACATGGTGAGGAGAATGCATTCTTCTTTGAAACTGTCTGGCACCACTCCCAGTCTATCATCCCAACGATGTCGAAATCTTCGTTTACAAGGATGTGGTCGCCCTTATCGTCGGGGTGCTTTAGGAAAAAGGGTCCCCCTGATGGAGCATCTTCCCCGATATCGTTTAGAAGATCTAAACGAAAGCGATGCATGAGGAAAACATCTATCGGATGATTAGCCTCGATCTCGCCGCTCGCTATCATAGCAAGGTACAATTTTATAAGGGCGCCGGCTCCCTCTAGCGAAGAGTGGAAAGGATCCAGGGGCCCTGTAATTCCTAAACAATACACTTCGTGGTGAGCAATGCCTTGTATCTCGTGTCTTGTTGGGTCATTAGCTGTGACTATTGACCCCATCATATCGAATGGATGCTTCTCGATCTCAAGAAATATATCAACTAATTGCTGCATGACCTTTTCTCTCTGCGGCGGGGTTGCCCCTTGCCAATCCAAGGGTTTCCCTTCCATCTTTTCCATCAATATATAGCCAACTCGTCCCAATGGGTTGCTTGGGTCTGATTCGCATGCCCAATCGAAAACCTTCGGGGAGGGGATACGTGTATGCTTCTGTAAAAAGTCCATTGTGGCTGCCTCGCTTCGAAGGATGTAATCGCGGCATTCTATCGGAGGCGATGAGATATTTGACAGACGGAACCGAGCGAGCCATTTCACGTTGTCGTCAAAGGTAATCTCAGCATGACAGTTTTGACCACCCATCATAACTGGCAGGTTCTTTGCTGATAAGTTGGCAGTGCAAGGAATTCCTCCTCTACACAACGATGCGCGTGCACATAATTTAGCACTATCTATTCTACGGCATAGCTCATCTATTTGGCGAGTTTCTGCGGCTACATATTGAGAAGCGTACATGGTCCAATTTTCCTAGAAACGTTAACGATGGTGCGACTACATATTCTGAAGCGATGATTTACGTGCCTCCGGCTTGGGACATTTGTGCCATTCATCCTGTGCATGAGTCTGACATAGATGTTTATTGCAGAGGGGACAATTTCCAGCTCTTTGAACAGCTGGTTGTTTGCAACCATCACAGTCACAAAACCATAGAGATTGTTTCAGAGACCAGTTGATAGAGGGCCCCTCCATATTAAATAAGGGATGAGAAAGAAATTACGAATGAGTGTGCCAATGTTTTGGGTTACGATGAGTTGTGACCGCCACCTTAAGAAAGGTGGTTGATGTTAGTAAATTATTCTCTAACCATATCCATATTCACATGTTTGCTAGAGATATACCTAAGGCATACAAGGAGGTAGGTACCTATCTACCAAGATAACTCCCCAATATGGTGCACATATGGTTACTAGAAATCACATTTCTGACGTATCTAGCTTTCTTGCCCTTTCATAGCCTCGATATTACCTATCCTCCAGGCCTGATTGCATCAAAGCACGGCATATCCCTATACACAAAATACAAGATGTGATTAGACAAACGAGCGTATCGAGTCAATTCAGTAAGTGTGAAGTAGGTATATATGATCAGTACCTAGTTACTTAGGTTTCAAAGTGAAGGGTCCAGTCACCTTGGCCTAGCGAAATCCATACGGACAAGCTATTGGGTCATACTTCGGAATGACGATCATGCGGGTTTGCGGTATCAGAATGTGTACCTAGGACACAGGAGGCAAAAGCTCGGGAAACACAGCGCCCGGGTAGGAATAGTTCTTGGCGTGGGGATGCCCTGTCACGCATCCGAACCAATTCAGACCTCGCCCAGTATACCTCCTACTATTGAACTGGTATAATACGAACCAGTTCTCAAGAGATCCTGCAAGATTAACTTGTTCTAAATAAAATCTACCCCGGATAGTATTACCCGAAGTCTGTGTTTCTGTGTTTCTATGTGTGCATATGGCATGGTCTGATAAATAAATAAAAACACTGACAATTTGTCTTCCGAGTAGATCAGGAGGCTTGGCGTCCTCGTCTTGAGATCACGGCGATGCTCCTACTCTTCCTTAATTAAGTAACATATGATATTGACTGACTTGCGAGAATATAACATTCGCTGCCAAGCTGAATGAAGTTTCGGTCATGGAATCAAAGCTGAAGTTCCCATGAGCCTTCTTACATGAAGACGTAAGGGAGTCGTAGGAATATAGGAGCGATTAGTACTTGAGAGTGAAGATATAATACACGCACTCCCCGACTCAGAGAAGTCTTACTCTCCTATCGTTCAAGAAAACTATCAAACACCACACTCCTTAATACCGTATATTTCAGAGGTATAGCATATATAGACCATGAATCTCTTGGCTCGTAACTGACGAAATAATAGCTGCGCTCTTTCGATTCTCTTCTGTCTTTAACCCCGTTTGAAAGTATGTCTTCTGTCTCTGGCTATAGTACTGGAGTATGTGCTAATATGAAACTTTCTAGCGGAATATTTATTATAATATTTATACATACCTAACGACAAAATGAAGTTCACGGCCGGTCCCCTTTTCACCACCATGGCATTGATTGCCTACTTGCCCAGCATCCTTGCCGTAGAAAGACTCGCCGTAAATCAGCGTTCAGTTGCCGTGCTGAGTTCTGGGCTAGCAAATAATGGCACGGCTGCTGGAAACGGCACCGAAGTGGTTAATGCCGACCAAGGCGAAAACAACAAGGATGAAGCCGGCAAGGATGCCGAAGACAATGGCGACGAGAATAACAATGCGGAGGAGGAAGAGAATGCTGATGATAAGCAAAATGCCGACGAAGAGAACAATAATCAAGATGAGAATGAAGAAGACAACCAGAATGATGATAAGAATGAGGAGAATCTCGACGACGCCAATGAGAATGATATTGAGGGCAACCTTCAGGAGAACATCGGAAATCTCATGCTCTCGCTAGGCATCTGCAACTTCAATATCGGTAGCCTTGGCGGCATTAGTATCGGGAACCAGATCCAGCTTCTCCTTCAACTCCAGCAACTTGCTCAGCTTTAACAACTTGGTCTGGTCAGTTCATTCTCCATTGAGCAGCTCATCCAACAGGAAATTCTCCTTAACAACTTCAACCTTAGTAAGTTCTTCCTAACCTAGTAAAGTTGACTTGTTAAAAATGATTTACTAATGACGTCTAGACATCATCAAGCGTACTGTTAGTGCATCTGTCAAGCAGGCTAGCCGTGAGAACAAGCGCACTATTGTGGCTAGAAAGGAGTGCCGGAACAAGAACTAAGAGTATATGACTAGGACGAAATGCTCGATCGTTCGAGTTTCGAGGTCAAATTATGTCTAGCTATGGACAGAGTCATATGTCCATATAGACTTGTACATTAGAATCTACTGAAATTTTAATTCTTATCTGTGTCCCTAGATACCCAAGGTTGTTTTCAACTAGATATCACAAATGTCTTAACTCAAGAGAAATATTAATTTAGGTAGTCAAGACATACAGTAGCAATGACCCTTTTTCTGATTTATATATTATTCGTCAGTTATCTATGAGATGGCCTGGAGTGGGATTTATTACAGATTGCCTGAAATTAAAGCTGAATAAACTAGGTAGGAAATAGAGATTTTCTATACATAAGCACAGGTACGCTTAGAGGAAACATTGCATTCCATGTACATACTCTATTTAATATATATTTTGCACATCTTCAAAATCAAACACAGAACTATCCGTCCCAATGTGACTTAACATGATAGCGCACGGAAGCTCAACTCATGGATACGGTAAGTCGAAGAAACAAATTTGTTTAGACCCAATATCATCAGACGAACACAAATATTGCGCCCGAAATAGTACCATGTGTTCTGTACCAACTTCGGATATGTCAAGTTCCAGTGTAGCTGTAACCGAGGCGTATAGTTACATGACATATGTAAGAAGTATACAGGCATACCTGAGGTCTGTGTGTCGTATCTGTAACACATCCGATATCCAGGAACGGGATCTCAGGGTCGCATCGAAACTGATAAGTGAACAGATCTAGTCTAGGCTATGTTGGTGCCGTGTCGGGAGATCTATTGGAAATGACAGCCCCCCTTGTGGATCTGGGGTCTTCAAAACGTCAAAATGGGTAACATGACTCTATGATTGGCTGGTAGCCCTGTCACTAGGATGGCCCTGATCATGATGGGATTGTTATTTCTCGATATGCCATCCGGAAAAGTGAATAGCAGGTCCGAGAAGTAATTTCTTGAAAACCCGAACCCAGGTCTTCATTGCCGGCTAGTCGGCACCTTGCCAGTGAAAGGCAGACCCTGCATTTGACCCTTGTCCTAGCTAAGACTCTGCCAAGATCTTGACAGCGCTTGGGCGATAGCAGTCTTTCAACTTCAACTCATCCGCTAGTTATACAAACCACGTCAAATTTTTGTAAACACGAATATTACTCGGAAGTGATAATTTCAGGCGAACTCTTTTCTCTACCATATCAGTAAGATGTTCTACCAACTGTGCTGTATTCTTTTCGGTAGCGAAAACTGCGGGAAACGGTATCGCCAATCCTTGACGACGATCAAGCGAGTTGTTGAACTAGCTTCATGTAACAGCGTCAAAGAGTCACCAGTTCGCACGGGGAAATCCGGTAGTAATAAAAGTATATCACATGGCATAGTACATGACAGACGATTAGCATAGTCAGATCTTGTTCCAGCTAAGGTTAATTAGACTACTATTACCCCTGAGATGGGTACACTTCTGATCTACGCTTTGGCTTCCGGGAAAAAGCCTTCCGTGGATAAGCAATGTCACCCACAGCTCCCCCGTCATGAGGTAGACAACCTGTTTTTTTGTTGAGCCCAGCACGCAAAGAGCAACAGGGGCCTTTCGGCTATTGAGGTTTGCGTCCATGCAAGGATGCAATCATTATGGTTATTTCTGCCAAGACATCCCCACGAGCTATTGAATGTCTCCATTCAGGATATGTTCCCTAGACTCGGCTTGTTTTACTCTACCTGAGGCTTTCTACATCTTGACACGCGCCGGAACCCCCCTTCGACGATGTTCCGAGTTATTATGTCCCCTCAAAAGCTTGGCGTTGTTTCTAGCCCTCCTGCCGTCCGATCAACATGGCATGCCATTTGATATATAAGACGATGTTCATCTCATCTGGATATGTTTCTTCTTCTTGCTATCCCACCACCAATCTACAGACATCTTCAGACCTCTTGATCCATTCTCTCATTCATTCCTTCAGAGGTGAGTTTTGAGTCTTCCTCTTAACTGGTTCGACAACCTTAACTAACATTCGATAGCTGTGCTCGTTGTTCACTTCATTCTTTATATACATTCATTAGAACCTTCGAGGTAAGTCGGACAATATCAAGTGGTCTGAAATAGATCCTATCATTAGTAACAAGGCTAACTGATACACACAGCTGTGCTCATATTAACTAATTTTTTTATTAATATCTCAACACTCACTATACCTACCTATTCAATATGAAGGCCTCCACTATCTTTGTTAGCGCTCTCGCCGCTGTCGCTACCGCCGCTCCTACTGCCATTACTACTCCTGAGAAGCGAGCTGTTATTGACATTGGTTCCTTCAACAACTTCGGCTTTGCCAACCAGGATCTTCAGTACCTGCTCGCTATCAACCAATTTGACTTGCAATCATTTGCTCAGTTGGCTGCCTTCAACAACCTGAACATTGGCAACTTCCAGGGGCTATTTTCCAACAACGGCTTTGATATCAACGCGCTTCTCCAGCTGCAGCAGATTGCTCTCCTGTCCCAGCTCAGCGGCCTCGGTATCTTCGGCAACTTCGATCTTAGCTCCCTCCAACTCAATGTTTTCGACCTTGGTCTCATCAACGGCATCAGCGGCTTTGACATCACTTCTCTCATCGACCAGTCCCTTGTTCCTCAAATCCAGGCTATCATTCAGAAGACACGTGAGTAACCATGAAGAAATCTAGTCATATATGGTGCTAACTACTACTGTGCAGAAATAAACGCTGTCGTCATCAATTAATTGATACGCCGCCACGTCCCGTGAATATACCCTATGGCAATTGCTATAATTAGAGGGTCTATGTTATGAGTTTAGGATATATAGGGCGGGATATGTAGGAAAGGGGATGGGAGAGGGTAATGCCCTGAAGTGCTTTCATTGTTATGTCAATTACCATTGGCCTCTCATCAACTCGATAATATCATGGATCATTGGGGTCTGTCCTTTATTTAGATGCCTATAGCTCTAGATTAAGTGGCACGAGAAGATGGCTGGATGAATGGGAATGGGATTAGTTGGGATTTTGGAAGATGATTCTTATCACGTTTACCTCAATGAGATGATTTATCCGCAATTAACGATTTCAAACTTTTCTGTGATTTTGATGAGCTTTGTTTGTAGCAATGTAAGAGTTTAAGGTATATCTAGCATTCTAGTATTAAATATTATGAGAGTGATATATATAATAGGAAGACGTCGGGCGTATTTGATCGCTCGTCTATCTAAAGTATGAAACTTAAATCATCTGTCAAGATTGTAAATAAAACATCTAAAACAAAGGACATGTTCAGTACCTATGTATAGACGCAGACTCTCGTAGATATATTAGAGTTCCTCGCGGAACAACGAAGTTGTTTCCCTACTGTTTAGTTCTACCTCGTGACATTATCAACCTAGCCGATTTATCCATAAACCATATAGTGGCATAGATAATTTTATTAATGAGGATACCGAACTATCTGGTCATCAACCTCTAGATAGAATCGATGGTGGGATTAGTGGCTACCTGTTCAGCCACGAAAATGAAAGGAGGCTCAAATCCTTAATAGTCACTTAAGATAGGGGCACATTGTTTAGTCCATTCATCCACAGGCAATAATGGTCCTAGCTTAGTTAGATATATAACATTGAGTGTTAAAAATGAGAATTGATATAAACATAGTCCAATCCCACCTCTCATCAAAAGTTGTATTGGGATGGATGAGTTTTATTTCTACCTCTTAAAAGATTTAAAAGGGCTTTCTACAGCTGATCAGTGAGCTACTTAGCTCATGTTAGTTAACAGGCATCAAAGTTCGATTTGTTGCTGTTGTCAACGCTTGTAGCTTTCAAAAGGTATCTACAATGTTCTCATTGCTAGGTCGGTTCTTTTACATTAAATGGCCAAGGGTGAGTGAATAAGATTGCTAGAAATACGGTGACTCTAGATAGGTAGCTAAGCAAGCTGTATACTCAACGGCTCATCCCTCATACGTCTGACCTTTCGTTAGTAGTACAAATAACAAGGGGCTGATAATGTTTGAGGACACAAGGTTGGCCGATGGATACCTTTCTGAATGGAGATACTGCTAGGGAAATAGGAGTAGTTCTCTTGGCGATAATTGTCTCATCTCAGGGGTGCAGCAGATGTCAACCCCGATATCGTGTCACTATGGCGGTGTTCCATAAGTATGATATTCTTGGTGCGTATACGTATATCCATGTACAAATGAAGACGGCGAACAAGAAAAATAAGTATAAATTGGTAAACACGGCTATCTAGCCACTGCCGTGCCGGGGAACCAATCACACGGTTGTATTGTCTCGATGTCGGACGCTGCAGCGAACTTCGCTTATATGCAGGTCTTATGAACTACCGACATCTTGCCTATACCTATACCTTGTTGCATGCAGCCTTATTAATTATTCTCGATTTTCGTATATGAATATCTTAGGTATCCAGTTAAGCCATTATGTTTAACTCTATATCGTATAGAGGCTGTTAAGGATTTCTGGAGGCGGTGATGAGGCCGCTAGCCGTGCAATCTAAGACTACCTGAACTTCTAACCCGCCGGGAGGTCAATAATCGGGACAGTATATTACATGTTAAAAATGTGGGAGGCCGAACGATGTTTCAAAATGCAGCGAGTTCGTATGTCCGGTCTCACTTAAAGCCTGCTTGATGTAGGTATCGCTACATATTTCCTCGCTTGTCATGGAGTGGCTTGGTACGACCTTGGGTGCAGTGTCAGGCCAGCCTCGTGGTTCAATTAATTAAAATAAAGCCCTTATAACGTTTCGTAACACTCAGGCTATCGATGAAAAAGAGGCGGTCTCGTCGGGGCCGACTTCTTACTATTGCTGCATTGCCTATCACGATGCCTAATGGGCCTACCATTTCTCTAGATGCCCAACGCACGCTGTCGATTTAGCTGCGCTGTCAGCACTTATTACACAGTTGACCGATGCCCTGATTCGGTGCTTGGCGCCCAGTAGAAACTCTCATCCGGAGTAACCAAAGCGGGTGAGGGTCATGAAAACAAGAAAAAAAACTGCCTTTCACGAACATCGTTCTGCATGTTTGTGCATGAAATGGCATGGCATCTAAAGGGTCAGCCATTCTTGGTTTCCACTTGGACGTGGGGGCTATTGGCCCTAAGAGAAGCCAGATGGTCGATGTCAAGAGGAAACGATCTACAGTGCTAAAGAAGAAACCAATCTGAAATGTTATAAGCGTATCTTGTTATTGCTGTACCCTAGCCGCCCTAAAAGGATCCTACCCTGCCCTCCGTAAGCGCGAGGGAAGAGACCGTCACAATATCTAAACCGTAGACGGTTATTGATTATCGACGGGATTAGATAAGAACTCCTTTTCTTACGGATGCTGCGGTGCGAGGTCTCAGCCACGGTGTGCGCGTTTATCTAGTTCTAAGTCGGCTAGGGAGTGCCGTCTGCTTGCATAAAGACTGTAATATCTAACCTCACGAGTCATGTGTTTACTAACCTAGGGCCTTACTTGAAAGTATAGACTTGTCTCGATATTGATAAGTACCTAAAGACTGAGAGCGGACTTAAAGACCAATTTATAGATTAACATAAGTTTCTCGGTCCCCGATACGCACGACCCAGTGCGAGTCTCGGCATCAGTCCCGGCCTTCGCCGCCCCACGTCCGGGAGAAACAATAGGATAATTGTTTTACCAGACTTGCGAGACTCGCCAGGCCGTAAGCAATGCTCGCGTCAGTAGTTCCCCATCCTTCGGGGCTATGAGCTATAGAGGTATTCTCGATTTCTTATGTGGAGCCCCGTGTAAGACGTGTCACCAGAACGAGCTGATTCGCGCATCCTCCACCATCGGGGCAGTGCAGCTTCTGTTCCCTCGTAATTGGTTATATGTACGCCCTATCAATCCTTTCAATAGGCAGGTTAAGCCAGTACGAAGTCAACCCCGTGAAGTTGCTGCAACGAGCTGCGGTTCTTGGGGCTTTTGGTGGCTGCAACAAACACACACCTTGGCAAAGTCCTGCCGCTCGGATGTCCAAGATAGACCGCTATCCTCTCTTCCCACTTAGCTAGCCAACTACCCTCTTCACATTCTCTTTCGTTTGTAATAGGCTAGTTTTTAGCTTTATGAATCTAGCTGTGTTATAGTATTCATCTACCTTGTGGTCAGTTTTGGGTTCCAGATATCGATTTTTACGTGCACCGTACCATCACTCGTTATGCGTTTCCCTTATATGTTACTGGCGCTTGTAGCCAGCGTCACCGCGGACAACACAGCGCAAACGAGACGGTCCGATGGAAGGGAGTTGACACTTAAATCAAGAAGACCCATTGAAATCTCCCAGTCACTTGAGGCAAGGCTAGCTTCAGTCGACATATATCATAAAGGAGTGGTTGTCTCTAGGGATCCAGGATGTGATCCTGATGGCGACGAGCCCGATCTTCCCTTTTGTGACAAGTTTCGCGAATATATAAAGGAGCAACATGAGAAAGAGGAGGAGCGCAATGGCAACGACGATGACAATGACGAGAAGCATCACGGCAGTGGGATGATAGCAGGAGCTGTAATAGGCGCTTTTATTGCACTCTTATTCCTTCTGGCCGTGTGGTATTTCCTCCGTATCCGACCTAGGAGGAGACAGCGTATACTAGAGCAGCACAGGAAGCAAGATGAGCTGGAAAGCAACTATCAATTCTCTCCCCAGGACACACATTTACCAACTCCGCCAACCCGATCTATGCCCGGAAGCCAAAACCCCTCCGAGCATAATGTCAGGTTCCAACGTACACCTTATCCAGGGGAAGTCCCATCTCCATCAATAACAAATTCGTCAATGTCTGGTCTGGCTTTACCAACTCCGGCACTTACATATTCTCCATCGGTTACATCCAGTGCCGTATCTCCATTGTCCCCAGTACCGGCACACGGATTAAGCGACAAGCCTCCCGCATACGCAGCGGTAGCAGCACTCCAATCTTCCGAGCCGCAACCCGAAGCGAGCGCGTACCAGATGGGCCAGACTCCCATGCCGTTAGAACCGCCGATGTACCATCTCACAGAAGCACCGGGACCTGCTGTTATGGATATGAAAGGGGAACCCATTTCTCGATACTAAAAATAATAATTGTACGATGGGAGAATGCAAAGCGTCTAGGCAAGGCCATCAGTCATTTCCGCGGGCAAAGTGTTCCAGTTCTGAAATTGTACTGTAGATATATCCCCTAATGTTCAGAAGTTCATTGTCTTTACTACTATGTACTTGTATTAGGAAAAGATGTCATTTCTCAGGAGCGAGTGGCACAGAAGAATCGATAATTGTTTTTTGTGTTTTTCTATGTCGGTAGAAGAGAGAGAGAAAAAAGCGATAGTTCTGTTTCTCCTTGTAAAAATGCCTGTAAAAAAATAAATAAAAATACCCCTGAAAAAAAAAAAGAATAGCGATGGGATAATGTCGTTCCGCAACTCCTGATTGATTGATCCTAGACCCGACCCGAGTGCAGTTACAAAGCGTCCTGAGACTTTAAAAACCATACCCAGTAATATTAATGCAGAGCCCACTCGAATAATAAAGTTAACTCGTGTAATAATGCTGCTGCATGAACGTATTGATGTAGATGGTGATACAACTTGCCACAAAAGGAGATCCGTAGAAAATCCTAGCAAACCATATTGTCATTTCATGCATCTTCTTCATGAACAAATCGTCAAAACACATGTGCCCTAGTACGGGAAAACGTTCCTCTCCATAAATAATCCATTTCCCTAACATTATGCTGCTGCTGCTGCTGATGATGGTGATCGAATCTCTACGTAGCGAGCGTGTGCGGGTCCTGCTCGACGTGCTCAACCCATTCGTATACGCGGTGCATGCCGCGTCCGGGCCCGGTGAGGCCGGCGAGAACGGAGTCCTTGGGCGATGTCGACGCAGCTCGCTGGCGGTGCCGCACCCGGGGTCCAGGCTCGTACAGAGCCGAGTCGTCCATGTAGCCGCGCGTCGCGGCTCGTCTGGGGAGCATCCGTTCGGGAATTCGACTGGCTCGTGGGATCTCGTATAATTCTTCATCGTCCACGGTGTGTCTACGCATCATAGGAGGGGTCGTTAAGGGGGCTTGGGGCGGTAGCGGCGGCGGGCCCATCGCTCGGGGAGGGGCTGGGGGAGGCGGTATGCCTTGCCCGAAGCCTTGGGGAGCCGGGCTAGGGTTTTGGCGCTGTTCGAACCGGTCGGCAAGACGACGTTCCATCGAGCTGGCACGAAGGCCGCGTGCCCTGTTCACTCCGGTGACATAGTCTGCAACCGAACCCGCTGTCCTTTCGAATGGCCCTACTGGTGGCGGCGCAGGTGCTGGAGGCGCGACTACAGTCTGTGCTCGACGTCTATAGGGGTTATTCTTGTTGAAAGGCGCCGTGTTGTTGGTGACGGTGTTGTTTCCGAAACCCATAATGTCCTCAGCAGGATCCATATATTCATCTTCACTGTCCTCGAACTGAAGCCGCCGTGCCAATTCTTCGTCTCGTTGTTCTTGAAGACGCCTGCGGATAAGCTCGTCATCGTAGGGACTTGGTCGAGTTCGTAGTCCGTTGCCGGGCGAGCGTCTAGCATCAAAAGCCGGGGCAAAGCCCTGAGCAGGCGGGGCACTTCTGAGGCCTAACCTCTCGCGGTCTATCATCGGTTCTGGAATCTGCATATGCTCAAGTCCGTCGGCGTCGGCGCCATCATAGTTGAACCACGGGCATTCACAAGTCTTCCACTTTAGGCCACAAATCATGCAAAATTCCGCACCGCAACGACTAAATTCCTCATTAGACCCTCACAAACTCCTAGTCATCATAAAGAACGATGTCTTACCAAGTCATGTGATTACAGCCTTCCTTTAGTTCTACCATATTTCTGCAGTTGAAGCAACGCTGCCATCCCTCTTCTTTGGCCTGCTGCAGAATCTGGTTCGTCTCTTCGTCAGCAGGACACTGGCCGGAGCCGTGCCACTTGTTGTTGCAGTCGCAGCATACGCGAGTATGACAGCTACCGCATCTACCCACCTTGCGACCATTGCGGTGTTGCTGGATCTGGTCTGGTCTGATCCATCGGCCGCATCTCTTACCCGGGCAGTACACACGGTTCCGAGTAGAAAATTCGTGGAACTTCCGGTTCCAAGTCTTCTTGAAATCGATGTCGAACAGGTTATCGACGTGCTTTAGCGGGATGCAATCTGACGTGCAGCATCTCGGAGGCATCTGCGCTGGGTCTTTGACGGAGAGCTTGAAGCTGCGCTTTAGGCATGACTTACACATCCGATGCCCGCACTTCAGCTTGGCCGTCTTTGAAGACGGTAGGTCGTCGAGGCACACGATGCACTCCACCCTGTTCAAAGGCAATCAATTAGATTTGCATCATTTATCGGCGACTTATTGCTGGATTTGCTTGGCAAACTTACATCTTCGAGTGCTTTTCGGGCGGCGACGGGAGTCCTGAACCCACAACCCTATTCAGAAAAGCTGGAGAAGATATTGAGGAGGAAGTCATACTCTGGGACGCTACATGTGAACTGGGAGCAGTATGCGCCCGTGGAAGCGAGGGCTTCGCAGTGTATCCCACATCGGATTCATAATACCTCCTCCGATGAGGTCTAATAGGATCGTCAGTATCAGCTGCTGGGCATTATTAAATTATCTGCATGCTTACCGTCTTGATGAACCAGCCTCTGGCTCATCGTAATGATCTCGATGACGAGGACGAATCCGGGACGTGCTTCGTGACTCGATGTGTCCTGATCGCGGCACTGATTTGGACCTTTCTCGCAAACGACGAAGCGTAGTTTCGTATTCGGGTTCTTCATCTGTATCTTCTTCATAGGCAGGTCTTTCTCGATGTCTTGATCGTTGCCGTCGGCGGGAGACCCGGTCGACCGGGGGTGGAGGCGGGGTTACTGGGACTTGGGCTGGTCTTTTGCGGGCTCGGCGCTTAAGTCTTTCATCCTCTGTGGAATCCGATGACTCGGTGTCAACGCTTGAACTTCTCGATGATGACGGTGATGGAATCCTCGAGGTAGGCCTGGATCGATACAAGGGGGTGGATCTCGGTGGTGTCGAAAGTTCGTAGGTCTCATCGTCTCCGCTGCTACTGGTCACGCTCCTGGTCATGCTCCTAGTCCTGTGTCTCGATTGCGTCCTGGGTCTGGATCTAGACCTGAGTCTCGAAATCATCTTCGCCTGTTCGTCATCGTCATCGCCGTCTTCTACCTCGAGATACACTGCCCGACCTTTCCCGTTCCGAGACCCGACGGTGGCCGACCGGGGACGGGTCAGTTGCTGCTGTGGATGAGGCATTGGGTCGGTAGCATCTGAGTCGTCGTCTTCGGACTGCGGTGCACCTTGATGAGAATAAATTTTTAGATTTCTACCGGCAAACCTGTGTATTTCAGGTCCTCGGGGTCGGTAAGGCAGCGAATGGGGGTTGGGATTATGTCGTGAGTCCCAATCATGGTGGCGAGATGGGGAGGGACTGCGTGTCTGGTGTCGACGTCTGGCCCGCTGCTTGGCTGCGACATGCTGTGATTGTGCCATTCGTCCGTTGTATCAGCCCCGTACCTACGGATTCGTAGAAGAGACCGTCTTTGCTCTACTCCTTCGGTTGGTTGAGGAGTCCTGCCGGTATCGTGGGAAATGAACAGCTGGTTACTCCTGAATGGCTAGTTGCATGCACTCAATTCAGTGCTGATTGGGCTGTATGGTTGCAGTCTGCATTAGGAGTGGGATGTGCAGTATCGGGCGAAAACATCCCCAATAGACGTCAAAGTCGTAGGACAATGATGTGTGATGGCACCTAATTACGATTTAATCGTCTACAGGATCCTACACGATAACTGGATCGCGCTGGCGTGAGGAGAGTTACGAGAGGTGAGGTATGGAAAAGCTGTGGAGGTGAGACAAGGGAGAACAGGTGGTCAGGGCAAATATCGGTTCTAACCCGAACATAATTCTGATACAGTATTGTACGATATGTAAGGAATAACTATTACTGTCTCCGCCTTTGCTGGCTATCCCCCTACCCCTCTGTTTTGACCCTCACCTACGATCTTCACCTGGGGGTCCTTGGGGAGTGGCCCGAATGGTTGTTTGAGTGGACCTAAGTGGCCGGGAACCCCTAGAAAACGACCTTTCGTTGGTTGGACAGTGATTCTAGCGGCATAAGCGCGACTAAAAACCTGGCTCCTGACTGGTCCCTCCATGCCAGATGCCCCTCACACATGTCAAGTTCCAGCCCGTTCGTCACGTTGAGAAAAAAAAATACAAAAAAAAAAAAAAATAACAGAGCTCTAACCTCTCCAGTCGCACACAGGTTTAGAAGGGGGACATTTTCTGTGATGAGCAATTCCAATCAAGTGACTCGGAGTAAAAAATACCATTGAAGACAGAAAATCCTTCGTCACGAGTGCGTTAGCTCCTCCTGATCGTCGTCATTTATTCCAATATTCCAAGAAATCATCCTTCCAATGCATTAAAAAGGGGTGGTTGGATGATCAGTCATCAGGCACGCAGGCAGGTAGAGTAAGTTACACAAGAAAGCCGTATCCTACGATAGATCACTATTTACTGTTCGCTGCTCGCCCCTATATATTAATGATTACCATGGTTCCTGAGGTATGATCCAGGTGGTAGGGCGTTTAGCCGTGTAGCCTGCCTCGATTCCTGTGCTAGTGTTACTAAGTCGGATACCTACTTACGTATCTGACACAACACTGCCTATTCGACCGGTCCGTACTACTACATCGTAGCAGAAGAATGCTGCTGTACAACAACAGCGAGTTTCGAAAGTTCCAACTACATATGTAAAGCTAGCCGGACCAACCAGCCCTGTGCAGCCTCAAGCCTAACGGCCCATCCCGTGAATCTTTACCGCAAGTATGCTAGAGGGAATGCATGCCCCAAAAGCCCGCTTCGCCGTGTTGATATGTAGTAGTATGTATTTCTCCCTAGCCTAGGTACCTACGTCCTTCAGCTTTGGTAGCTTGCATATATCAAGCAGGTAGCTTCAATGTTGTCAACACCATACTAGCCCGGTAACCTTGAATTGTCGTTCTCTGGTTCAAGTGAACATTTATTTGGTTAATTCTAGATTATTTGCAGTATATTGATCAATAAGGAAGTTCTATCCTTCCCAAGTAACTGGATTGTAAATCAGATATAAAAACAAGCTCCGCCGCCCTTCGGCGTGGGCCGTACAATTAGACTGATCAATCAATACTAAGCCCAAATAAGACACGGCGACATCGCTACCGATCCGTCAATATTTTTATGCACAACGAAGAGCAATTATAATGAGTGACTCAGTATAATTAGACATCC